CGTCTTTCACTTGTCACCCTTGGAAGAAGCTGATGAGAAAGGCACACAGGGCCTGGAAGGGTTTCCAACAGTGTTCCCAGGCCTTCTTCTTTGCTTCCTCATTCCCTCCAGGCCTGGGTCCAGGCTCGGTAGCTTTGGCTGTGGGTAGGGTGGTGGGTTTGGCTTTTCCCAGCTCTTCCATCGAGTCCTTTCCCAGCTGTGTTGCTTCTGTGAGTTTCACTGTGGCCTTGGGCCTCAGAGATGGCGTCCCAGCCTCAGGCTGCTGGTTGGGCACTGGGCTGCCGTTGAGGCTGGAAGTCACCTGCTGCATGTGGGCCTGGGGCCCAGCCTTCCTGCACACGGATGGCCTCAGCACCGGGGCCCCCTGGCATGCATGGTGAAGGCGCCTCAGCTCCTGCAGGGCTTGGTTCCAGTAAGGTTTGGGGTCAGCAACGAAAGCCTGGCACATACTGGGCTGCCCCCTGTACTCACACCAGTATGTCTGCTCTGTGTTGTGGCAGTCGACGCGAAGCCAGACTTCTCCAGCATCTGGCCCCAAGCTGCTGGGGCGCATAGTGCAGGAATCTCTCCCTCCAGTCTGGAAATGGAATTCCTCCCCAGTGCTTCCTTGCTTTTGCCTCGGGGTCTGACCCAAAATCCCCAGGCAGGACAAGGTCACCAGCAGGAGGCAGGGGATGAACTTCATGGCGATGCTCTAATCAACTTGCCTGCAACCCTGCACCAGGAGACAGAACCCAAGTGGGACGAGTCACCCTTTAAAGGGGGCTGCACAAAAGACTCTTTCTCTGCAAGGGTGGGGAAGGTGTTTCACAGCAAATGAGAAACATGCCCACAGACCTTAGACACTTGGCAAGGGCAGAGCAGCCATCAGGGGCCACCTACCACAAGCAAAGGGAATGGTTTTCCTGAGTGCATCAGAGAGATCTGCCCCGGCCCTGTCACACACAAAGCACTACACACAGCTTTGGGGTTGAGGGTTTTACAGTTTTCCAACCACAGGGAGCTTGCTCTAAAATTGGCCCTTGTACGGGAACAGCCTTCTTTGTCAACATTCGGTATGTGCCAAGGTGTGGCAGTGGAATTCTGGAAAGAGAGGTTTGTAGCTGGGAGTCTGGGCTGCCTTGAGGCTCCCCCCTGCTCCTTGGAATCCCCATCTTGGGGGACCATGGGTTTAGATAATCCAAAGGATGCCAGAATTTTGTGAGCCGAGGTGTTGAGATGGCCTAGCAAATGCAAAAAAGACTATGTGAGGCCGTGTGAGGATGTGTGTGCTAGAGGGACACAGAGACACTCCCCCTCCCACCCACCGAGCTGAGAGTCACCTGGTGTGGCCTCTGTGGGGCTGTCCCACCATCACCGTGGCCACAGGCCACAGTGCTGCAATGCTCACTTCTCTTCTTATTGCACGCCTGACAATTGCACCAACTGAATGACCAGGAAGGCATGCAAATATATGTTCACACTGGGATTCAGCCCATTTTAGACCATGAATTCTATTTCAAATTCAATTGAAATAACACAGTTTTCATTATATCCCAGAAAAATATGATTTTAAATATTATTATTATTGTTCTAAAAATAGAAAAAAAAATAAATTGAAAATAACTTTTGGTTCTGTGTCAAGAATCATATTTTGGTATGGTCATAACTGTCTTTTGATGACTTTCCAGAGGGCACTGTGGAGTGGACTAAAGGTGGCAATTTGCTGTTAGGGATAGGGTTGACGGACGTTGCGGGACTAGTTTGAATGTGAAGGATTTATCTTGGCAATCCCACGTGGGGTAGTTGGTACCTGGCACGGCCTTCCTTCCGCCTGGATAACCTGAGTCCTGAGAAGACCTAGTAGCGCTGGAACTAAAGTCGGACTGAGCTTTGGCAGCCATTGTGTGTGTAGCAGTGAGAGCCTCCCAGAAGAGGGCATCACCCCAGGTGGGGAGCAGAGGAAGCTTCCAAGTGGTGCCAAACCTTCAAGACAAGTCAGTCAACTTGCCAGGTTGAGAAAGGGTAAAGGGCAGTTGTTTTTTTTTTTAAGAGACGGGGCCTCATTCTGTCACCTAGACCGGATTGCAGTGGTGTGATCATAGCTGACTGGCTCATTGTAGCCTCCAACTCCTGGGCTCAATCACTCCTCCTGCCTCAGCCTCCCAAGTAACTGGGACTACAGGCTTGGGCTGCCACACTCAGCTAAATTTTTAATTTTTAATTTTTAGGGACGGGGTCTTACTCTGTTGTCCAGGCCGATCTCAAACTCCTGGCCTCAAGCAATCCTTCTGTTTCTTTGTCCTCTGGAGTCACTGGAATTAGAGATGTGAACCACCACAACCGGCTAAAGGTAGGTTCTTTTTTTTTTTTTGAGACAGTCTTACTTTGCCACCCAGGCTGGAGTGCAGTAGTGCAATCTTGGCTCACTGCAACCTCCACCTCCCAGGTTCAAGCAATTCTCCTGCCTCAGTCACCTAAGTAGTTGGGATTACAGGCACCCACCACCATGCCAGGCTAATTTTTGTGTTTTTAGTAGAGATGAGGTTTCGCCATGTTGGCAAGGCTGGTCTCGAACTCCTGACTTCAAGTGATTGGCCCACTTCAGCCTCCCTAAGTGCTGAGATTAGAGGTACGAGCCACTGTGCCTGGCCAAGGGCAGGTTCTTAAGGCAGGGCAATGCTTCCTGTAAAGGAGTGCTCCTGGAATGCAGGTTTATGGACTGCTGAAATGCGAAGGGCAAGGAGGCAGTGGTGAGAATCAGGCTGGAGAGGTGACTCAGGGTGGGGTCCACAGCCCCTGTACCAATCCACAGGGTTGGTTCTGAGACAGAGCCTTGCCCTTCGTGTGCTTCCGATTCAGGAGCCCCTGGAGTAAACAGCACTCCAAGCCAGGCTCCATGTCGTGGCCAGAGGAAGGCAGGTGTTCAGCTCCAACCTCCTTTCTCCCACCCACCACAGTGTTGCAGGCAACAGCTTGCTAGACCCATCTAGCCGCCCTGAGGTTATGGCCAGCCCTTTTCAACACCTTAGTGAGGCTGAGTTTACCCTTCAATGGGAACTTATCATGAGAGCTCTAATCACGCTCTTCCTCCTTCTGCTTTTGGGACAAACCAAGCCTCAAGACCTTTGCACTAGTCGTGCTCACTGCCTGAGTATCTTTTCCCGAACATTGCATGCCTAACTTCTCCCTGCCACCCTCAAGGAGGCCTTCCCTCGCTATACAATGTAAATGAGCTCTTCTGTTCCTCTATCACTTCATCCTGCTTTAATACTCTTGAAGGCAGTGATTTCTCTTTTTTTTTTTTTTTTTTTTTTTTGAGACAGAGTCTCGCTCTGTTGCCCAGGTTGGACTGCAATGGTGTGATCTCAGCTCACTGCAACCTCCGCCTCCCAGGTTCAAGCAACTCTCCTGTCTCACCCTCCTGAGTAGCTGGGACTACAGGCACATGCCACCACACTCGGCTAATTTTTATATTTTTAGTAGAGACAATGTTTCACCATATTGGTCAGGCTGGTCTTGAACTCCTGACCTCAGATGATCCACCCACCTTGGCCTCCCAAAGTGCTGGGATTACAGGCGTGAGCCACCATGCCCAGCCCAATTTCTCTTGTTATTTGCTTGTTCATCTTTTAAACGTGGAGTGTCATGATCAGATTTGCACTGTAAGAGACTGCTATGTTGAGAAAGGATTGGTGGACAGGGAGGCTGTGCACAGGGAGGGAAGTGGGCAAACTGGCTGTGTATGGGTTGAGTTGCTGTAACAAAAAGACCTTCTCTGTTATGAACCAGTCTTCCAGATTCATGCCTGGCAGTTCTTCAAATTTAACACATGGATTCCAAGGTTTGTTTGATTGCTGCCACTCCAGTGGAACAAGTCCAGGATCTGCAGTTTTGTCTTAGTAGACACTTCACTTACTCCTGGCCTAAGCCTAGTCACTCAGCCACATCTAGCTGCAAGGAAGGCTGGGAAATATAGTCCCCATGAGGTAGCCATATGTTTAGCCAAAACTCAGGGGGCTGGAAGCCTAAAAGAAAGAGGGGAAGGCCTCATTAGTCAAGAGACATTATGAAAACTGTAACAGGATCATCAGTGGGGATGGAGAGGAAGGCTTGGTGACCAAGGGTGGATGGAAGGGAGGGGGAAAGCAGACTTAAGAGATTCCTCTGGCTCCAGTGAGAGGGTGAAGGTGGAGAAATTCAAGAAAGGGAACGTGGCGGGGAGAAGCTGTGGGGATGTGCAGGTCAGGACAGTGGGTTAAGGCAGGTGCTATAAACTGTGGCCCATGTGGCCTGCTTTTGTAATTTCTGGAGAACACAGCAATATCCATTCACTTATGTATTGCCTGTGGCTACTTTTGAGCTACAACACAGTTGAGGAGACACAGGCCACATGACCCAGAAAGCGAAATATATTCACTACCTGACCCTTTATAGAGAAAGGTTGCCAACCTCTAGTTTAAGGTGCATCTGGGTGGAGACATGTCATGAACATAGGGGTGGCCAGAGCTCTATGTGACGAGAGAACCAAAGGGAGCAGGTGAAGTGATGAGTGAATGAAATCACTCAAGGAGAGAGTGAGGGGTGGACCAGGAGAGAACCCGTGAATGCCACCTAAATTTAAGAACTGGAGAGATGAGTGTTGGAAGGAGACTGAGGAATAGACAGCCATGCCCCAAGAAGACACTGGAGAGGGCTCCTTTGGGAGCCTGAAGGGAGATCTTTGTAAAGGGGATGTGTTCACAAAAGTCAAGTCCTCGGAGACCCCGACAGGAGCCCTTCAGGAGTGGTGGGGACAGAAGCCAGGTCCCAGGAGCTGAAGAACCAGTGGAAATGAGAAAGTGGACATAGAGATGTGTAGATAATTCTTTCAAGGAAATTATTTCCGAAGAGAGAGGGAAAAAAGAAAACACGTTGTACTACCAGGCTGAGTGTGCAGTCGGGTTGAGGAAAGGCTGATTTTTTTTTCCTTTTTTGAGACAGTCTCGCTTTCTCTGCAGGCTGGAGTGCAGTGGCATGATCTCAGCCCACTGCAACTTCCGCCTTCCAGGTTCAAGCAATTCTCCTGCCTCAGCCTCCCCAGTAGCTGGGACTACAGGCACGTGCCACCACTGCCAGCTAATTTTTGTATTTTTAGTAGAGATGGGGTTTCACCATGTTGGCCAGGATGGTCCCGATCTCCTGACCTCATGATCCACTGTCCTCAGCCTCCCAAAGTCTTGGGATTACAGGCGTGAGCCACCGTGCCCGGCCAGGCTGATTTTTTTTTTAACAAAGATAAGAACTTTAGGACCATATCCTTCCACTGTGTTTGGTGATTTGAGATACTGAAAAATAAATAAATAAAAGTTGCAAGAGTGACACTAGGAGTACTAAGTTGGCTTGAATAACTTGAACTATTTAAATGGGCAATAGAAAAATCAGGTTTTCAAAAAATGGGAAGTTAGGAGATAATTTCCTCTGGAAGAATTATACACTACATAGTCTTGTTTAAATTGCAAGCCTCTTGTGTGTTGTTTTAAAGAAATTCATTTTTACTTGTGTATGTTTAGGAGTACATCAGGCAAAGCAGAGTTTGCCTATAGTTGGTATCCAATTGTGTGTATTGTGACCTGGACAGTTCCCTAAGAAATGATGACTTTAGATCTGAAGATCTAAAAAAAAAGCCCACTTTGACCTTGACCTTGAATTACTTCTGTATAATGGGCCTTTAATAATAAGTAATGGAATAAATTCACAAATAATATATGCCCAAATTTCATCATCTAACTTGTGAGTCGCTGGATCTACTCAAGGAAGCAACATACAGACCATGTTTTCCAAGTTCCTTTTTATTGAAACGAATCAGAACTGCAATCTGCACATGAAAAGACCTGGGGGAAAGCCTACATCTGGAATTTCATTATGTCAATGTTAAATTTTGTCCGACCAGTTTTTCATTGCTCATCACTTTTGATAATGACAGATCCAACATGAAAATCCTAAAGCAAATGGATATTTACCTTGTGCTTTCATGTAAATTTAGGGACCAAACTCAAAGGTTTCATCCATGCTGGACACCAAATCTAAGAATTGTGACAGGATCTTCTCATATTTCATTTTAGAACCCTTGATACTAGTCTGATGATATTCATGTTAGCTGCACTCCAATTCATGTTTATTCTAATGCAACAGAAAACTCTGTTAAACTGTACACTGTAATTGGCATCTGTTAAAACAACTCCACTTTTGAACGAACAGCACTTCTTTCTCTCAAGATCTCTCTCTCTCTTTTAAATTTGCAGATGGAGTTACGCAGGTTTCTCTAGGATTGCTTTTGCATGCCATTTCCAAATGGAACATGACCAATCTTTGATAAAGTATAATAGATAAAAATCTTTGTGTGAAGGATATGCTGTAGGTTTCACACACTTTTAGTGAAAATGGATTATTTTCAACAGCACCAAGAAGTCAATGGTGACTTATTCAGCTCACTTAGAAGAAAGTCCTATAATACTCATTTGTTTAAAAAACTCTGTGGTAACAAAAGGTATATACACCATTTACTGTACACAAAATGCATCTTTCCTGTAAACTGGTGTGTGTTTAGCACACTCCACACATGGCAATATGTTAGAACCTAGCCATCACATTTGATAAGAGTTTTGACAGAAATGCATCCAATGGGAACAAACACCCCATATGTTGTAGTGTCTAAATAGAAACTCAGTGTAAAAAAGTAAAAAACAAAAATAGACAGGGAGGGAGTCATCCTTGAATAGTGATGGACCATGGACTATAAACATGATTGTGTTCATTCTTAAAGCACTACCCAGAGACTAATGGCGCCGTTTCCTTGGTGCCCGGCTGAGTCACTACGTTGCCACTGGCGTTCCTCCTGGATTTGGAAAGTCCTTGTAGACCCAGAAACTACCAAAAATCTGTGATCCTTTCCACTTTGAGTATCCTGATGCTGAAATGAAAGTTAAACACAATTTTAGAAATTGCTTTTGAATTAATAAAGAGAAAACCAAGAATGCATAATCCTAAAATGGTACCCACCAGGAGCCTAAGAACTAAGGAAAATATAAACTCGTTCAAGAGGCACAACAATATGTTTGTTGCAAAACAATTTGTTAAAATATAGCAATATAGAAAAAAACTTTGTGGTTTTTGTTTATTTATTTTATTATTATTATTATTATTATTATTATTATTATTATTTGAGAGGGAGTCTCACTCTGTCACCCAGGCTGGAGTGCAATGGTGCAATCTTGGCTCACTGCAACCTCCGCCTCCCAGGTTCAAGTGATTCTCCTGCCTCAGCCTTCTGAGTAGCTGAGATTACAGGCGGGATTACAGGGGCCTGCCACCACACCCGGCTAACTTTTTAAAGTAGAAACAGGGTTTCACCATGTTGGCCAGGCTGGTTTCCAACTCCTGACCTCAAGCGATCTACCCGCCTCGGCCTCCCATAGTGCTGGGATTACAGGTGTGAGCCACCGTGCCAGCCCTTATTTTTTTACTTAAAAAAAAAACTTATTTTTTAAAATATACACACATACTTACTGTGTGTGTGTGTGTGTGTATATACATATATAAATACACACACATTTATATAGCAATGTATGTATATACAGAGAAGGTCATTGTATCGTATCTATATATCCAGTCATCCCTCAGGATCCATGTGGGATTGGTTCCAGGACCCCTACACACATCCTCCAACATACTGTGTATCATCTCTAGATTACTCATAATACCTAATACAATGTAAGTGTTATGTAAGTAGTTGTTATACTGTATTGTTTTTATTATTTTTATTTTTGTACTGTTATTTAAAAAACATTTTTTACAGTATTTTTAATCCACAGCTTGAATCCGTGGATGTGGAACCTGCAGGTACAGAGGGTGGACTGGATATATAAAATCATCATGTGTACTATACTGACCTAGATTTCCCACTTAATGTATTAGGAATAGCTATGTTTTGATGTTCTAAAAACTAAAAGCTATAGTCCTATAGATTCTCTTCAACGAAAGCATCAAACTTACCTCAAGCAATTTCAACATCAGCTATCAATGTGATGGGCTAAAAAACAAAAAAATAAAGAAATATAATACCCCCAGGAAAGCTGTGGGTGATTTCATCACCTCTGTGCTAAGAAGCAGGCCTGTTACTAAAGGTACAGACGAATATAAACCACACCTCATAAAGTTTATCAAGAAGAATGTGTCCAACAAAACATTGGTTACTCTAGCTTCTGTTTGTATCGCTTTTAAAAAGAGACTAGAAGATAAAGAGGATAAACAGACTATGACAGTTTATCATATAAATGATATGTGAATATCATATAAATGAATATTCACAATCTAAGGTTAAAAGTGTTAAGAGTCACTAAGAATACATGTTGAAGACATTAGACCAGCAGCAACACCGCAGTACACACCAGTCTACCACAGGAGTCTTTCTAAAGTCTGCTTCTAGGAGAGAAGACAGAAGCAAATGGAAGTTCCGCAGGGACCTTATTATAACTACAAATTCCTGGGTGTAAGATCAGGCAGTGCATACGGCCTCTAAGTGGCTCTCTGGGTGAACCATCAACAGTAGCCCTAGTGTCCTCTAAAGTGACTCCGGGATAATGGCCTTGACAATCAAAAGGTATACGCCAGGGGGAGACTAGTGAACTCCATCTGGAAGGTCTGCAGTTTCAACTCGGGCACCACCCTCCCCAACTGTGACTTTGGGTGGATCACAACCCCCCTGAACCTGCAGGATCCACCTTGCCTCACTCCAGTGCTGCATCAGACACATGAGGTTGGGGGAGGATGTGCACAGAGGACATCAGGGCACCTGCCAGGCAAGACATTCCTTCTAAAGTGTTTCACTTGAGAAAGTGCACATGCTTGGTTCTGTGTGCCTCTTCCTGCACTACTCTTTATGCTTTCGGTGAAGAAACAAACTCTTTATTGAAAGGGCTCAAAGGGCCCCTGGAAAAGGGTGCAAGCAGGGGCTGGCTCAATCTCTTGTTACTGTCCACCTCACCAGGACCTGGAGCTGAACATTATGAAGGACTGTAAGCTCTGGCGATCATTTCTAAAGAATATCTACATTTGCCTTACTGAGCAGAGGGATACTGCGCACACTAACAGGATCACTGGTTCTTCTCCTCTTGCCTAGCAGTGCCTCTCCTCCAGACAGTATATCCATCCTATCCTGGAAGAGATGGAACTCTGGAGACCTCAGAAGCAGGAAATGAGCGAAACAAACCAATTTAGGCAGTGTCTTAGTCTGTTTTCTGCTGCTATAACAGAATATCAGAGACTGGGTAACTTACAAAGAAAAAAAAATAATGTTTTTTATAGTTCTGAAGGCCACGAAGTCCAAGAGCTTGGTGCTGGCATCTGGTGAGGGCTTTCATGCTGCATCATCCCATGGTGGAAGGGCAAATGAGTGCAAGAGACAGACAGGGAATGGGGTCGAGCTTCCTCCTTTTATCAGGAGCCCACTCCCATGATAATGGTATTAATCCATTTATGAAGGCAGAGCTCTCATGACCTATCCACCTGTGCAAGGTCTCGCCTATTAATATAGTGATAACAGCAATTAAATCTCAACATGAGTTTTGGAGGGGACAATGAAACTATAGCAAGTAACTAAAACTAATCCTGGAAGATCCTGATGTAAGAGAAACAAAGGGCCTTAGATGAGACCATAACTGGAGATACTTTTCTTCAGGCCATTAGGATTTGGGCTCTGAATGATAACTTCCTGGGTGCCCAACACAAAAAGGTAATAAAATAAAGAAGGCCAGTGCATGACCTCTGAGACTCTCCTGTCCCCAGAGTGGACATCACACACTGATGACAGCACTTTTGAGTCAGTCTGGATTAAACCTCCAGATTTCAATCAACACAGGGCTCTGGGCAACCTGATCAACAGAGAGAAGTTGGCCCAGGAGGTGGAATCTGTTTGTCACTGATGCACTATCTCCTTCACAGAAAAAGGAAGGTCCTGGTCCCTGAAGAACCTAAAACATCACACAAGGGAAGGGGTTCCAAGCACCCAAGACCTATGCAGCCAGAACCTACCCAGGGGAAGGTCAGCTACTGTTCATGTAGCATTCCCTGGGATCCACCTGCTTCCTCCTCCAGGCTGCAGAGGTGCAGCCATGCGAACCCCTCCTACTTCTATCTAAGAATCTGGCCAAGCACAGTGGCTCATGCCTGTAATCTAGCACTTTGGGGTAGATCACTTGAGGTCAGGAGTTCAAGACCAGCCTGGCCAACAGAGCGAAACTCCATCTCTACTAACAACAGAAAAATTAGCTGAGCATGGTAGTGTGTGCCTGTAATCCCAGCTACTCAGGAGGTTGAAGCACAAGAATCGCTTGAACCCAGGAGGCGGAAGTTGCAGTGAGCTGAGATCACACCACTGCATTCCAGCCTGTGTGACAGAGTGAAACTGTGTCTCCAACAACAACAACAACAACAACAACAACAAAGAATCTACAACAGCACTCACAATGAACACCATCTGCAGCAGAACTAGCAAGAAGGTGGTTCACAGACATATTTTGTTGGGCCCCCATGGTATTTTTTTCCTCAACATTGTTTGCTAACATTAAAAAGGGTAATTTCATATTAAAATCTGATTTCTCTCCTTTTCAGATAAACTAGAGTTTCTAGCAACATTTGCCTCTTATTTGTTCCTCTTTCTGCCAATTTGGTAGTCTTCAGAGTGAAGACTGGGAAAAATAATCAAATTATTCTGTGGTCTTTCCACCTGTTTTGGGAATTTTTCTTTGCCCACCTGCCTTTGGGAGAATAGGAGAAATAGCTCAAATCTTAGCTTGGCCCTGGCTAGCTGTGGAGACCTGGGCACGGCCTACACGTCCCTGAGTCTATCTGCAAAAGACAGACAACAGGGAGGTGATGATAGCCATAAAGGGCCAATGTGAGGACTGTGCAGGATGAGGCAGGGTGGCCATCCTGCCCGGTTCCTGGGGCTACCGGACCAACACTGGTGTTCGGTTGTTCTCAAGCCTTTGTGGCCTCACATGGAGCAACTTTCTCTCTTGATCTCTGAAGTCAGAGCTAGACAGAG